TGCTGCCAATGCCAACCCTTAAGACCGTACGTGTAGATTACAGAGGGACGTTTCTAATGAAAGGTGAATTTGCAATAGGTTTGTTGCATCCTTAGATTACACATATTATATGATCTAAGGTTGCATCTTAATAATGAGTTCTGACAGAATAAATTCTATGGTTCTTACCAACAACATAGAATAACCACTCTATGCCAACAATTAGCCCCACCTAATTAGCTTGTTAAAAATACCTACCCTTCCGCCCATTTCATTACAATTCTTTGTATCATTTTCGTGTTCTACTTAAATAAAGCGTGGCAACTCTGGTGGTGGAAGATGGAATAGAAAAATAACGCGAGTGATATAAAATGTTATTTTCCGGTGTTAAGATAGATTGGAAACTCAATCTCGTGGTGATTATTTCGTCAAAAACACTCGTTAGTCTGGTTGGATGTGTTTCCTTCGATTCGATTTTCTAAACTCCACTCGTTATTTAAATTTCTTTGGTATTGATTTTCACCTGTTGCCGTAAAGCGGTAAAGCTTTCAAGCTGAAAGGTTTTATATTATAACTTGCTGAAGGAATTGAGGACTACTGACACGCGTTGCGATCTTATTCATTTAGAACTGACAGTTTCGCGATAGAGTGACATAGAAACTCTTCTATAGTCCAGAAACGGGGATATGTAAACAAAGGGCTTCAGAGGGTTACAAACGCCCACGCTGCTTTCAATGCAGTGACAAAGTTACCCATAGCAAATTGTCTATTAGAGCATTCGATGCTCTGGAATGATGTAAATAGTGGCGGTATAAAGCCACACTTGGTAATGTGATTAAATAGAAATAACTTTGTTAGAATCATTGATTTAAGCTTTCCGAATGAATGTCACTTGTTGAGAATAATTCAGAGCTATGCTGTAATGTAATTAACTATCCTTGCTGTACGAACGGTTCTCATATTTACACAAGTTTTTTAGAGCGCGATTTCAGCTGAAAAGCTATTTTTGTTTCTCCATTTCAACTGAAGTTGATTAGTCTTTGGAGCGTGTTTGGACAGTACAACTGATTGTAGAAATTTCGTTCTTTTGTTCCTTTTCAGTTTAAAAATAGATGATGAGTACCTATCATAATGTTGTTAAGAAAATTTATTGTAGCTACTCTACAAAAAAAGTGTTATACACAGGGATTTTGATGCTCTTTAATTTTGCATAGAACAATTTTTTTCCTAAAAGCAATTCTGACTTAGTTATGAGTCAAAAACCATTTATTTCCGGGTTGTCATTTGCGGTTAAGGCATTTCGCGGCGGGAAACTTTATTCCATCGTGTTCAACACATTTTTTTCATCCAGAAACCGCTTAGATCAATTCTTTTGCAATTTGTTCTCGGTTACTATCAGGAGATTATTAATTTCCCTTTATCGTTATGAAACGTGTACAAAACTTTATTTCATAGCAAAGGCCACAGAAATCAATATAAAATTTCTAAAAATACTCTAAGTATTTACTTTACACATCCAAAATAGCAACCTTTAGTTCGCATCTCGTCGTTTTCATGGACACAATATTGTATTTTGTTCGGAACTTCATTTTATACCGTGCTCCGCGTCCCATTTTTAATAAGAATGGCAGGTGTCATTGAAAGGCACAATGATTTATTGCACTGTATCTACCCTTGCCGTTAAAGTGATTACATACTACTCTTACGAATAAAAAGACACTTGACTACTCGTTCAAACCTATTAAAATGTCATCTGCTATAAAATAATTAAATTTCTCCTCCTAATACAAAAATATCCCCATATATCAAAACTTATTAAGTTAAAAATTGAACATAAACCCTCAATGAATTCCAAACTAATAAATCTCCTTATTCAATAATGATCGACCACGCTAATTTACAGAATTCACAATAATTTTCCAAAAGACAAATATGATCACGGGCAAAAATTTGCATAGATAATGGAGGTACAAGTAACAATATAAAAATCTTACCTGTAATGTAGTAAAGGCCGTCGCAAGAAAAGAGCTCTCTTCGAACGATACCAGCCTAAAACAAACGAACGAAAAAAGGAAAACCACAACCCGAGTTAAGTGACTCGGTAATTGATTAATTAATTAGTGTTTGAAGAGCGTACTGCAACTCTGTGTAACCGACATTCAAAATCGAATACCTCAACAAAGTACGACGGTTCCTGAAGGAGGACAACGTACCCAACAATAATCGTACCGCGTTCAAAATCGATCATATATCGATGTGAGTAACAACAGTGAATAATTACGAACAATTAATGACATTTAGATAAAAGAATTGTCTTTGCAATGCTCCTTGAAGAGGAGTTTTCTAATTTTTTGGTAGTGATCCTAACAACATATAAAAAAATCAGCTAGCGATTTCTAGTGCTAGCCTAACTGCTAGGCGTTAACGTATTAATACGCAAGCGAACATTTTTCGTTTCGGTGCATATTTGGATTAAGGTTTTCCCGTTTAAATAAATTGTTCCCATGAAACTGTTTGGGGTCTAAGGTGCAAAACATTCCTTTGCGCCAAATTTGTAGTGGCAAGTTACCTAAAAAAGACTAATTTATTAATCGAAGTCCAATTTGTTTAGATGAAGTGCGCACAAAATTACGAACTAAACGGATACTGGTAAAATGGTTAAGGATAATTAATTCAAGCTTATATTTGCAGTTAAAACCCTAACTTACAAAGGTGCACTTTTTGGTATTTATACATTGCGGAACATCAATAATTTATTCCTGTGAATAACTTAAAGTTCAACTAATTAATCAAAGTAAGGCCAACGTGATTATGATTTTATTAAAAATTTAATTTACATTTGGTACATCAAGTTTATGACTTTCCCTTTGTTGGTTGGCTATAATGAGGGTTAACAGTGCTCAAAGATTCGGGAGCTGAGTCGTGGATCTTGTACTGAGTGTTGTTTGAAGGGGGCGCCAACCTGTCTTAAACCAACTTGCCCAATGACAGGTAATCGGACAAGCTCATAACGAAATGCAAAAATCGATCCTATTATTAATTTATTTAAACAGGTAATTGACTCGGTAGGTAAGTATAACTTGACGATGATATCGATAACGTAATTTTTGTGTTTCAGATGAATGATCATTCAACGGACTTCAATATTGGACTGATAACTCTAAATAACAATTGACAATTTAAGGACAGCACAACATTAGCAATTAATTCTAGGATGGACAATTAATAATAGACAAATATGCTTAATTTAAACAAATAAACTTGACATCTCCTTTCAAATTTTGTTATCTCAAACCTCAGAGCATTGTGTGAACCATTATCCACATGGACAGCACGTACATACAGGTGGACGGTGGGATGGCGGCTTATCACCATAGAATTAAAATCTTATCATCAGGAACAGCGCTTGTTATTCCGCAGTTACTTGTGCAGGTAATAAATTTGCGTCCCACGTGACGTCAGGGGCGGCTACTATATATTTTTTCCAATTTCCAGTACTTAGGGGTAAGAGCCCTAAAAGGTAACGCGTACGCTAATATGACGAATATTCCAAATTAATAGCTTACTTAAGGTGACAAACGGCTCTTGAAAGAATTTTAGACAACCATTGAAATGTAGATTAAGTTATTGCCTAATTAGGTTTGTACCGGAATAATTGCACGTAGTATAGGTAGGTAACCAAAATCGCGTTATTCTCGCTACCCAGCCCCACTGACTTAAATAAGTCTCGAATCACAACGTAAATTATTATGTCCGTGGGAACGTTTCTTTTTCCACGACCGCCACTCGCCCCTTTTCTTGGTCCCGCTCAAAAATCCCTCCCATCACAAGTTGTGTATACACGCATGCGTTCCCACATCAGACACAGTGTCCTCCATCGGCCACACCACCCAACCGTTCCCGCCTCATTCAAAAAAGAATAAATTGTTCATAAACCTAATCCACAATTTCTGCAAATTTAGAACGCTACAAGTTCATCGATCTTTTAAATAATAACCGATGTATGGAAAACGGGAGTTAGAACGATCGTATTTTCATTATGTAATATATTCAAACTCGTCAATTTATGTTTCATGTTATAAAAAGATAAACAGAACCAACGTTCCGCAAGGTAAGAGTAATTATTTATTACTAGCTAATCGTGATATTATAGCTATTTATATATCAAGTACATAAACTGGGTCTTTATGGACGAGCCGTTTATTTAGCCGAGCGAACTTGCGAGCGAGGCACAAATAAACAAGGCGAGTCCCCATAAAGCGTATTTATGGATGCGATATATACAAAGCTTTATGTACGAGTAGAACAACCCTTAAAAATGAAAATTTCATCGAATTCAATAAACGATAAAATCTATATATCATTTACAACAGATGTCAAGCATTTGTCAAGTATTTCTAAAATACTTGAATTTACCTTGGATTGATACATAAATACGACTGTCACATTGACAGGCGGCCGTTTTACTTTATCATTATGGACTAGGCCATAATATTGCAAATTATGGCCACTAATTGCGACCGTAATCACCGCATTATCAAGCAGTCGTACATAAAGTATTTTATTGCAAAAGCTTAATTGTTACAGTACAATTTTTCCCTGCAAAAAGGCGGCCTACCTATTCACGTGGAAAAAGCTCCGAAAAACATAACTTTAAGCATGTATTACATAATACCACTACGAGTATATGTTACACGAGATTGCAGAACTTTTCCTTCCACTTGCACATGAAAGGAAATGTAACGATACCTCGAACGATACACAACAAGGGATATAATGAAAGGCAATCCTCTTTTTCTTTCAGTTATTAATAATGCTTCATCGTTTGACTATGCCTTCATAATTTATCTCCTTTGTCGTTTCGATCCTTTATTTCAAATAATCCGAGTATTCCTGAATTTCAAAATTCGTAACATTGACAAAGGCATTCGACAAGTGGATGATATTTTAAGATGATTTATTATCTTAATAGTGAAATGTAATCTCCGCCAAAGGGAATTAAGGGCTAATTGTGCGGGAATCTAACTAATGATATTATTTCCTAAAACGCTATTTGTAAATAGAGCGTGACTATTAAATCCATTATCTGTACATATATCACATTTATAAGTAGTACCAGCAATCGACCTGTTAACAGAGCGATTTGCTGTTACAGCACAATAGTCGAAAATGCAACCCTCTGGGGTAGATTTCCGTTTCTTGGCATTCCTTCCATAAATGTCAGTTTTATTCAAATTAGCATTAAAAAAATAAAGCAGTAATACAGAAGAAGCGCATAATTATCAAATATGCGAAAAGTTTCTCGAACTCTAAAGGAACAACTTTTAGTTTAATTTCCCCAGGTACAATATTGACATTATATTTTTGGGAGACTAAGCACGATTCATATTTTAGCTCAGTATGGTAAGATTTCCAACACCCTACCTCAGAGACAGCGTGCAAAAAAAACACGCGCGCTAGTACGTTTTCTTTGAAAATTCTCTGTAACGCGGTTACATAATATAAGAATTGAAAATTGTGACTCTACCTTGCCATGTATCTGCAGTAGAGCTCGCAGAAGCGGCCTTTTTTAACGAACTGAAGAACCCGCTCATGAGGGCATTTCTTCAAGTACCACACACTCATCACTACACTGAGCATATGACACTCTGTCTGCGGAACTCCGTTGCAAGTAAATTCAAAGAAAAAGTTATACGCGCGTTACAACTTCATCCGCTTACATCCCGTGTAAACGAGCGAGACAAAGGATTCGTGGTGTTACAAGAAGCGTGCATGGATGGGGAAAGTATTGATCAAACTTACGTTTATGAAGGTGGTTACTGATGACGTCACAGTGGGCCTCTCTCTGACGACGCAGCGCATCGCGACGCTTGAGTTTTCGTACCAAAGCACAGCCGCTGCGAATAACATGGTTTTCCAATTGCTGTATTAGCGCCGAAAGTTCGACAACACCTACAAAGTAAACAAGTCTTAAAATAAGTTTAAGTTTTAATTAAAAATTAAGCTGGCAAATATCATAAATTTTGGGAAACGCACGTTCTTTCATAATCCACATTTAGGGATGTTTAATATCAAATACGCTCTAGCTAGACAAATTGTTAGCGCGCTACAAAAGTTTGCGTGGGATCATAGTTATCTGTGAGGTGTTTACCAACAGAGTGTTGCAATTGATCCATCATACTATTTTATTTATATAAGTCATGCATTATTTAGCTTCTGCTCTTTTTCTATACTTTAACCATTAATCTTCACAAAAAAGAAGGACGTTTCAATGCACCGCAGAGAATATTTTTAGACATCTTTTGTATTCATTTTCTCATATCAAATTCTCAAATATCGTTCCTTCGGAATTTTTACTTCAAATCGGACACGTCTGTTTGATTCGTAACAAGAAATATCACGCGACTCGATAAAAACTCGTTAATCTCGACCTCCACTAATTATCTTTCGTCCAATAAAGATCAACTTAATTCTTGCTGCTCAGTTGTAACAAAAAAGATACATCTAACAGTATATTATTCAACGAGCAAGTAATGAAATCTATTAATCATGAAGATGTGGAATTTATCCGAATCAGTAATAGCCATTATTACTACGAATATTAACAAAATTGAAATGAAAATAAGTAGCCTCGAATTGTCTTGCATGAGCCTTTCCATTTACCGTTGGTCGGATGATATTGGTGTAGTCAGAATGATTTATAGCAGGTTGATACTATACTAGTGCTGTCAACAACACTAGACAGAATAATTTAAGGAAAATAAACCAATAGCGTCGCGAATAAACTAACGTAACTACTGAATCTTCAACCGTCCATTTTGGATGATCAAAGTTGAATAATCTGAATGAACTGAATGTCCCTCTTTATTCCTTCAACCCACCTTTTATGCAACCACTTATGGCGTTCCACTTCTCTTTCGTAAGGTCATTTTTCACAAAGTTAAACGCTCATATCGCACGTAAGCAGCATGCTACCAATTGTTTTATTATCAAAGGCACTAAACTTATCACAGCTGTACAGCTTTATATAAAAATGCTTAAACAAACCTTAAAAGACAATAAAATTTAACAAAAAATACAATTTCATTCAATTTACACGTCTTATCCAATTAAAAAAAAGTTATCATTTGTAATACCTACCTAATATTTTTTTCTAGAACTTGTAACCACTTATTATAGAGTGTCTTTGTTTCGTAATAATACAATACGTGTTTCTTTCACCGTATTCAAGTAGGATAAATTACTTAGATACTCCAATAAGTCTGTCAAACGTAACGCTGACTTGAGTTAAGTCAACGATCCATATCGATCACGACAATCACGTCACGCCGATATTAATTAAAACTTCGATTACGAATTCTAAAGGGGGATTTGGGTCAGTTTATGTTGTGTATTTCGTGCACTCATTTATTGCATTGCTTAAGGTGGATGCCTCTGCTTGCATTTCTATTGTATGTATGCAATTAGGTTCATTGTTCCTTGAATTGTGATGTGATTGCTGGCGTTGTTTGTAATAAGTACTGAAGCTAGACGGTACCTTCTTGTCTTAAATGTTATTTCCTTACCGTTTGGTATTACGAATTTGGTTTCCGCTTAAGTAACCTTTGATCTGTGCTTTTATTTAGATTCAACGTTTTATTCAATATTCTTACGCCATCTAGGTGGTCTCTAATTTAGATGTTAATTTCGTAGTAGATTTCTCATTACCTTAATTCTTTATTTTCGTTGTAGAGATTTCTTACTTCAAATAGTTCTTGGTTTCGCCCCCAAGGTCATGCAGTGTTTTACATGTTTTTTTTTCTATCCCTTCTCCCATTAATTTGGTCTTACGCATTCGCTTTATCTCTTCCTCTTAGTACCGATTTTGCTTTTGCATTGATTGGATGCAAATGTCTTTTGGTAGGTACGTCATTACTTTTCTGACTTCACGTCTACCTGAACAATGGCTTTTCTTTTGGATTTACCATATTTATCCATATATCTTTGGAGTGATTCTTTCACGAACTTATAAATTAAGATGGACTGCTGATCAAACAGTTGCATAGAGGTAGAAATGGCCCTAGCATGGGCGCGGCCATGATGTGCACGTTTTAGTTATTTTCTAGGGGAATTTTCGTAGTGCTCAAGTTTTGAGACTATTGCAGCCTTGGAAAATGACATGTCACAATAATTTATTTAGAACACGTGAGGTTAATGCTTGTTTATTAGTTGATTTGAATTTCTTTCCTTCTCTTGATGTCTGTGGCTGTGGTTCGATTGAAACGTTTTTACGGATCTGTGTTTTGCATTTAAACAATACGAGATATGTACAGGGTGGTTCAAAATGGTAACTGATAGCACCTTCGATTGACACTTTTATTCAGAGAATATGATTATGATAGAAGTTTCATACCACGCTAGATCGTAGAAGCTACAGTCTACTACTGTTTTATTTCAAATGGAGGCCATATTGGAAATGCAATTGAGGACAAAAAAAGAACTTCATTTGAATATATCGCCATCATAGCCATGCTATTTCAGCAGGATCTAGTTACCCGTGGATGTTTTCTTGAGAAATGAATGGAAAATTCAATTTTTTGTTACAAATTTATGTAAAAGTATATCATTCCGTAACAATCCAATATGGCGCCCATAAGACATACGAAAGTAGTAGCCTGTAACTTTTACATCTAGCGTGCTATGGAAATTCTGATAACAGATTCAGATTCCCTGAAAAAGTGCCCATAGAAGCTGCTAACGAGAACCATCCATTTCCGAAAATGGGAAAATAAAAACGTAATTTGACATTTTCAGTGTTTATGGGATATCTCAGATTTTTCAACATTTCAAAAGCATTTTTTTAGTCACAAAATGGGGCCCCAATTTAACCTGCTCAGTATTTCTTCCTGTTGCGGAGATTTCAATTGTGAGCCACGAATTTGAACCACCCTGCACATTTATTACGCAGCATATTTTTATCATTACGTACCTATATACTATACTAGTTTATTTAAATTGGAAATTAATTATATCAATAGAAATTTAGGTATTTGTGTACCGCAAAGTACATTTCTTGAATTTACGATCACGCCGCCGTCACGTTTATGCTTGCATATTTGATATTGTACGAGAAACCCGTGGTCGAACCAAATTTTACTTTTATAGTGTAAAGTCATTCCAATTATTAATTCTTTTTGAGTATTAATTACAGTTTTAGTGTCAGATTTGCCTCCGTGTCACACGTTAGCATTGCTATTTCGCAATATTTTATGGGAAGCACGATACACTACCCCTTTCATTTGTTTGTTTTGTTATTGTCTGTTACAGATTAACAGAACGTGCCCTTTTGAGCTCACAAGGGCGCGACCCGAAGTTCAAAGATAAATTTGGTTATTCTCGTCGATTCCTTGATTAACGTTTGATTACATGCTGGTTTCCAATACAATCAAATTGGAATTATTACATTTTCTGAGCGATTAGAGCTCCGTCATTTCTACGGAAGCCTATTTTGATATTAATATTTTCTCTGACTATTTGTTGATCCCTTTTACTAAAAATCAATTGAAATTCAAATATTGACATCGCAGATCTATATATTACAGTGACCTATTTGTAATATTTTTGAGATCATTACGCTCGATTGTGACATCAATTATTGCTTATGTTCTATGCATACCATGGATATTATTCCTTTGGCTTTTCAAGACCAAAACAAGGATCTCTTGGTCTGCCTTGTTTTTCCCTTTTTAAGGGTTTTTTTGTGCCTATATGCAAAAAAGTGTACTATTTAAGAATATGTAATGAAAACTAGTGGTTGCTATTTAAGAAAAGATATGCTCTCTTTAACCGTACAGAAGAACGCCACTGGCCGCAAAATTAAAGTACGTAGATTGGAAGACAGCTTTCGTAAAAAGTTTCTTTAAAGTATATGTTCTGTTGGAGATATATTCAGTGTTCCCAACAAAATTTTCACATTGTATATTTCTGAGGAGAAGGTTTTCAATCGAACGTGAGCCGCTCAGGTGGAGTCTAGATCCTTTACCACAAGACGCCACACGTTACATTGCGACAGCACTGGATTCGCCTTCTAATATAAGTAGTTGATTGAACGGTCAATGGACAAGCTTCATGATGTTGATAATACAATATTTAACCTATGCCATTAAATTATAGATCGGAACTAATACACTAGTAAAAAAAATCTGTACTGCCTGTGACGTCATTTGACCTAATCGAGTGCGATCGTTACTGTGGTAATGGTGCGACGCACCAATAACCAACGGTACACGTACTAAGCAAACGAATAGGCATCGTATGCGAATTATTTTTCCAGGTGCAATTTTAAAGTTTTGTAACTTTTTCATTTGTGGAGGTATTTTAATGACTCTTTTGTACTTGTTTTCATTTTACTTAAATTTTCATAATTAATTTACAACAAAAAACTGGAAACTTCTCTATTATGTATTATTTTTCGCATTTTTCGCATGCACCGTGAATGGTACGGAAGAACAGAAGGACCCACTTATCTCTGTTAATGACATTCTCGGCGCCAAGTTTAAATGATCGTTACGATTTCTGAAATAATCCAATTTTCTGCGCGCACATTACAGTCGTTTAACAAATGGACAAACAAATACATGTCGATATAAACATTGAACAAAAACACTATTTTTATTCAATGATATAAAGTACATTGTAGTCCATGCACATAAATACAGAGTATATTATTTACATCCATTAGGTATGTGCTATGTATGTACGTACATAGTACACACACTGTATGTGTACCCGTAGTAGTGTTACCCATCTCGAGACTCAAGCAGAATCACTCCTGTAGAGTAAGATATGATAATACATTTTACTTTTACCTAACGTGCGAAAAGAAGTAAAAACGAACGGACAGATAATGTTAATATTTTTTTAAACGAATCGAAATTGAGTGCCTAATTTTTTTTACTTTTGTAACATAATGG